GGGGCAAGGAGGTGACACAGTGCTGCGGCATCAGAGCCCCAGCTCTCAGATCTCCATGGGCACAAATGAAATGGCCTTCAGCCATTGCCAGACTTAATGTGGATCTCCACTTTTTCTACCACCTATTTTCTCCCAAGCCAGCCTTTTCCTGCCCTTCCACCACCTGCAGAACATCTACTTATATAACTACTAAAGCTTCATACGGGTAACTGTCCAACCAGAGACGCTCACTCTTCCACTGAGATTGCTGACCCTGCAGTACCAGGATTTAATCCTCGTCACCGCCACCCAGAATCACCCTCTGTCTCTCACATTCGGGCCCACTTTGATGGGTAAATGTGCTCCTTTCTGAGAGTAAGAGAAGGGAACAGTGAATAGAGTGTTCTTTAATGAGCCTGCAGTACTGGAAATTTCCACATGGTGGCCAAGCTGCTGCAGAGGTCAGTTCATGCCACAGGCGCTGGTCTGACAGCGAGGCCGTTTCAGTCCCCAAGACTCCTGCCCTTCTTCCCCAGTTCCAACATTCCATGTGGAGGTCCTTGTCTACGGGCCCTTGACCGAAGGTTTCTCAGGAGGTTAAGTGACCCCAAATTCCTCACCTGGAAAGAAGTAAGCTGTGCATTCTGTACGTAGCAGTTTCTTTTTCTGTTCCACTCCTAAGTCCTTGCATTCTGGGCTAATCTTGTTCTAAAATGTCACCAGAGAGCAGGGCAGACAGGTGGCCACATAGTAATTAGAGAATGCAGGAGACTGCTATGCCACACACTTTCCACTGGGTGTGTGTACCCAAATGCACACATAGACAACCCTCATCATATACAGTTATGTGTCCTTTAAAAGGGGCCCTGGTGGTGAAGTGGTTAAGCGTTCGGCTGCTAACCCAAAGGTTGGTTTTTGAACCCACCCGCAGCTCTGCGGGAGAAAGCTATGGCAGTCGGCGCCCATCACGATGAACCAAAACCCAAACTCACTGCCACCGACCGAGTCAATGCCGGCCCACAGCAACAGGATAGAACTGTCCCTGTGAGTTTTCCAGGCTGTAACTCTTCACGATCTTGTAAACCATGGATCCCTAGGAAGGAGCCTATGGTGCTGTGGGCTAGGCACGGGGGCTGCTAACCACAAGGTCCTAGGTTCAAACCTACCAGCCATTCCCTGGGAGAAAGCTGAAAGCGCCCACTCCTGTAAAGACTGACGGTCCTGGAAACCCTCTGTAGGGTTGCTGAGTTGGAATTGACTCACGGGTGTAAGTTTTTTATGTTATAGGGGCACTACAAGTCAGAATCCACTTACTAACAGCTCTAGATTCCCTTTAAGTGAATTGCACCTTGTACTCTATCTGACTTCCTCTTCATTGACTAATTAATCCCATCATTTTAAAAATAGTAATTGGAGAGTAAGGAGTAGAGGAAACAAAAACAAGACATCGTGAAGGGTGACTCATAAGTGGTTTTGCACTGTAAACTCAAAGGGCGTTAAACGGAGACCTTTTCTTAAACTTTGTGTAGTATTCCATTGTGTGTGTGAGCCTTCATTTGTCCGAAACGTTAAAGAATGATGGAACTTCGAAACTGCTCGTAGCATGGATAAGCCTGCAGGACCTTACACTGAGTGAAAGAAGTCAGTCACAAAAGCACAGATTATGTACGAGAACACTATTATCAAGAGTCAATTAAAAAGTCTTCACAGCACATTAAACACATTGATGATTAAGAGGGATGGTTGACTAATACAGGTCACTAGAGGGCAGACCCATATTAACTTAGGTGAAAGGGAAGGGAAATCAATATATATATATTTTAATAAAAGCCTTTTGGGTGTTTAAAGATCTTATTCGGCAAATGCTGGAACCCTGGGTATGGATTTGTAAAGCATATTTTCCTGGAATCATAGAAACTGCTGGGTTCAAAGTAACTAAACAATATCAGATGCACGTCTTTTAAAAGAGGCAGCTGTGACGTTTTCCCGACTCCCACCCTGCGGTGGTAAAGCCCCCCCCATCCCTCCTCTCACCTCTGAGCAAGCAGCCAGGAAAAGGAAGGGAGACCCCTGTGGTTCTGAAGTACTTTCCTGAACTCAGAGAACAGGGAATGTTCGGTCTTCAAAGCAGAAGGAAGCAATGATGAATCCCAGCGTCCCACCCCATACCTCCCCCGCCCTGGCTTTCCCGCCGCACCAAAGCAAAGCGTAAGACTCCCACCAAAGCCCAATTCACATTTCACAAAGACACGCAGACAAGACAGACAGTAATTGGGCAAGAGGCTGCCCTTGGCGGGGAGAGAGGCGGGTTGGGGGTTGGCTTAGCTCTGCGCCTGGGGACGCGCGCGTGGAGCCCCCGGGCCCGGGCCAGCGGGTGGGCGTCAAATGACCACGCTGACAGTCAGGCTCTGGCCGTGCGGCGCGATCTTGCGGGGCCAGGCGAGCAGGAGCTTGCGCAGCTCCTCGCGGAAGCTGTCGTGCAGCCAGGCGTAGATGAAGGGGTTGTAGCAGGCCGAGCTCATGGCCAGCCAGTGGCACAGCAGCTGCACCAGCCCGAAGGCGTAGGGGTCGATGGCGCGCGGGTCGAGGTCCCGCAGCAGGTTGAAGATGTGCAGCGGCAGCCAGCAGACGGCGAAGACCACCACGACCACCACCAGCAGGCAGAAGGTGCGGCGGCGCCGTGCGCGGTCCCAGTCCGCCTGGCTCTGCGTCACGCAGCCGGGCACCACGCGGTTGCGGAGCTTCACCGACACCCGCACGTAGGACACGAGGATGACCAGCAGCGGGAGCAGGTAGGTGCCCAGCAGCAGCCCCCAGGCGTAGAGCTGCCGCTGGCGCTCCTGGGGCCCCCAGAACTCCTCGCAGAGGCGCACGCCGTGAGGCTGCAGCTCGACGTGGTAGGTGTGCACGGCGGCGGGCAGTGCCAGCACCGCGGACAGCGCCCAGATGGCCAGCACCGCGTAGGCGCTCAGGCGCAGCGAGATGCGCCGGCGCAGCGGGTGCACCAGCACGACGTAGCGGTCCACCGCGATGGTGGTGAGCGTGAACACCGACACGTACACGGTGACCGGCTGCAGGAAAAAGACCAGGTGGCACAGGCCGCCCCCGAACACCCAGCCGCGGGGTTCGAAGGCGTAGGCCAGCGTGAGTGGCACACAGGCGGCGCACATGAGCACGTCGGACAGGGCCAGGTTGCCGATGAGGAAGTTGGTCACGTTGTGCAGCCGGCGCACCCGTACGATCACCAGCACCAGCAGGCAGTTGCCCACCAGCCCCACGACCACCACGATGCAGTAGAGGAGCACGATCAGCCCCTTCAGTTGGTGCACCAGCTGCAGGCTCTGGAAGGGGGTGACCGCCTGCGCGCCGGACCCGGCCGCCGTCCCGTTGCCCTCCGCGCTCTGGTTGGCTGGGGTGGTGGACGCCGGCATCGCGGGGCCCCGAGTGGGCAGCGAAGCCATGGCCACCTGTCCAAAGAGAACCAAAATGCGTCACCTCCCACTCCCCATCCTCCCTCGCTGCACCATCCCCACCCCACCCCGCCCTTCCACCCCGAGGCGCAGCGGATCCCTGTCCTCCTAGACCCTTAGAGACAACAGCGCCAGACCCGCTACCCCCATCTAAAGTGCCATCTGCCCACCTCCGTAAAACCAGTCTGTGAATGGCCTCCTTCTCGGCCAGACCCAGAAACCCGTCCCTACCTGGTGAGTGGGGCCCGGCGGCGGGAAAGCGCCCTGCAGATCAGGGCAGAATCCCTCCGGTCCCTGGCGGTCCTACGCGCTCACCCGGGCTTCTGGCTTCTTCGTGGGACTAGTACGGGATTCAGGAGTCCCCCCTCCAACCCTCTGGGGGTGGGGGGCGAGCGGCTTTTGAGAGGGCCTGTGAGCACCTCCCCC